GAGGGCTGGGGGAGCAGACCCTGCCCAGGGCAGCCCCTGGGCTTCCCTCGGCCCTGTGCCAGGATGTGCCCGAGCGGGACCCCCTGGAGAAATCCCCCTTGGGCTGCAGGGCTGGGGAAAACCAGGGGTTTGTTCCAGATCCTCTTCCTGCCCCTTCCCCTGCTCCCCCTCTGCTCCCAGGCTTCCTGCACTCCAGGCTTTCCTCACTCCATGCTTTGCTCTCCGCTTCGTTTGCCCAGTCAGTCCGTGCCATCCTCTCACCCTCCCTCATTGCCCAGTCAGTCCGTGCCATCCTCTCACCCTCCCTCATTGGCAGTGATCCCATGGGATCGGTGGGATTGGTGGGATCGTGGAGCAGGGTAGGAGGTGTGGGTGGAAGCAGATCCTTCCTGCCCTCAGGCAGGTGAGTGCTGTTGGGGTCTGTCTGGGTAGGTGTAGGTGTGCTGGATCCAGGGAAGAGAGCAGTGAGCACTGCTGGGATGGAGGAAGGCTGAGGCTCCAGGTGTTTTCCTGTTCTGCTCCGAGGTTTCCAGGAGGGATGAGCCATCAGTTGCTCCTGTTGCTCCACAGAAGTGCTTCCTCTGAAGGGCCCTTTCCCAGCATCCCACCGAGGCCTGGCTGTGTCCTGGAACAGCTTTTCCTCCTCACGAGGTGCCATGCTGGTTCAGGAGCATAATCCTTAGGGATACAGTGGGATACAGGCCAGGCCTTAGCTGGGCCTCACCCAAGATGATGGAAATATCCTGGCAATGCTCTTGGCTCCCTCTTGTCCCAGCACTGGGCTTGGGAGTGTCCCTTCCTCCTGCCGTCCCTGACACAGCCAGGGTGATCCCAGGAATCCTGTCCCCGTGGATGCAAACCTCCCCTGTCCTTGTGGGAACCACCAGGAAAAGGGTCACTTGGTGCTGTAGAGAATCCCAGCAGAAGTTTCCAGCTGCTGGTGTTCAGCTCCCAAAATCAGCCCATGGGTGCCACAGCTGCTCCCTGTGTGTGTCCTGGTCTGTCAGGTGTCCCTTGGATTGTCCCTGGCACAGTGGCTCTGTGCCATGTGCCAGGGTGTCCCTGGAGCCTGGCACAGCAGGCTGGGCTCTGCTGCCCCCCGGGGATGTGCCACTGTGTGCTGGGCTCAGCAGTCACTGCATTTCCCTCTGTCCCTTGGGAATATGTTCCTGAGTTACAGCTGACAGGGTTGTGTATGAAATGGGTTAGCTCAGACCGTTGGGATATTTGGGAATTGTGTCCTCCTGGGCTGATTCCCCATCAGCTCCTTCAGTCCCCCCGGATGAGGAGCCCAGAGACAAACTGGGGGTCCAGCAAGGTGGGACCTGGCACAGTGCTGCCATCTGCTCCAGGGAAGGGATCCCAGGAACAGCAGCGACAGCCACAGCAGGAATGGGGACATGGAACCCCCAAACCACCCCCAGGTGCCCAGGGAGAGCCACCCTGGGAGGGGACACGGCCGTGGGGTCACCAAGGACCTGCTCCTGCTGCTCCTGCACCTCCCACGGGACCAGCTGTCCAGAGATCAGGTTCCCAGTGTCTGCTCCCAGGGGAGAAATTCCTCCTGGAGCAGAGAGGGCTCTCCAGCTGCCGGTGTCCTTCGCTCCACGCGCTGCCAGCACCGTGGGATTGCTTTGGGCCCGTCTGGATTGGAAACTGCAGGACCTGCGGGACAGAGGGAGAGACTCTGGAGCTCAGCAGGGAAAACTCACCCTCTTCACACGTCCCTGAGGTCACCTCAGTTTAAAAAAATCCAGGTTTTGCTGTAGTTGCCCCTCTGTAGTTGCCCCTCTCTTGCTTGTTTTTAAAGGATTTATTCACCGACCCTCGCCCGGATCCCTGTAGCAGCCGGAAGGGTTGGGTTGGATTTCATGGACAAGATGCTTTGTGGAGTTACAAGGTTGAAGTGAGCAGGTGTTGCTGGACCTGCCATGACATGCTGTGACCCCTCAGGGCTCTCCCACCTCCTTGGTGATGATCCTGCCTGGAGATGATCCCGCCTTCCCCTGGTCCTGGCTCCAGCTGACCCCATTCCCAGGCCAAGGTTCTGCCCCACAGCCTCTCTTCTCTCCTGGCTGTGCTGCCCCAGCTCAGCATCGGGCTGTGCCAACCCCTGCTGCCAGTCTGCCTTGTTTTCCTGGAAAGGGGGCACTTTCCAGGGATTTGTGGAGAAAACAAGCCTCTGAAAGTGGATGTTCAGCCCTGACAGCATCTCACCAACATGCATGGGTTGGCTTCCACCCCCCTGCCCTGGGAGAGGGAACAGGGAGTGTCCAGACAGGAGTTCCCAGCACAGGTTCCCCCTTTGCAGGTGTGTTAAGCACTGGCACAAACCAGAAACACTGGGGCAGAGCAGAGACCCCTGGATTGCTCAGACGGAAGGAGCTGAAGGTTGTGGTCACAGTCAGGGTCTGTCTGCAGACACTGGCAGCATCCCGAGGTCTCCCAGCCCCGATGTGTGGATCCCATCTGCATCCAGGTTCTGGGATTGGCTCAAACACCCCCATGTTCAGCCCCATCAGGTTTCATGGCTGCTGCTGCTGTTCCCATGGCCCAGTTCTCCCAGAGAAAGCTGTGGGCCACCAACTGTGACAGTGACCTTCTGTGGGACCTGCCTGTGGCCTTGGGAGCTCCGTGGCTCCACACATGGGATCCATGGCAGGTGTCTGCCTTGGGCAGCCTCCAGCTGCTCCCTCAGAATAGCCAGGCAGTTCACACCATCCGGATTGTTGTGTTCTCCTCTGCCACCGACCCGGGGATGCGGCTCCGGCGCTCGGGTATCGGCGGGATCAGCTCCGTGTGCAGGGGACAAGGACCAGCCCAGCAGTGCTGGGGGCTTGTTGCTTCTGGGGAAGACAAGAGTTCTCCACAGCTGGGCTCCTGCAGTGGATCCAGGGCTGTATCCCAGCCATCCACAAGGTTTCAGGATCCCCTTGTCCTCCGTGTATTCCTGTGGAGCTGGTGAACGAGAGCCCGGCTTTATCCCGTGGGTTTTGTTAAAATACCCTGTTCCAGTACAAGGAGAATCTTCCCTGGCTGTATAGCCACCCTGTGCTGGGACAGCTGGGACTCTGGGGCTGTGTGTGCCCCCACTGTGTGTGGACACCAGGGACAAGTGGCTTCCTCAGGATTGGGCCCGGGACTGTGGAACGGCTCCATCGGTGACACGGATCGAGGGCACCCCCAGCACCTCTGCTGATGTAGGACTGAGTGGGGCAGCCACAGGCCAGAGGGAAGGGATGGGGCATCCACAGGGACCTGGACAGGCTGGAGAGGTGGGACTGTGCCAAGCTCATGGAGTTCAGCAAGGCCACGTGCAAAGTGGCAGCTGGGTCAGGACAGTCCCAGCACACGGGCTGGGGAGAATGGATTGGGAGCAGCACTGGGGAGAAGGACCTGGGGCTGTGGGGGTCCTGCCCCTCTGCCCCCTCAGGTGAGACCCCACAGCAGAGCTGTTCCAGCCCTGGGAGCTCAGCACAGGAAGGATGTGGAGCTGCTGGAGAGAGGCCAGAGGAGGCCACAGAGCTGCTCCCAGGGCTGGAGCCCCTCTGCTCTGGAGCCAGGCTGGGAGAGCTGGGGGGGTTCACCTGGAGAAGAGAAGGATCCAGGGAGAGCTGAGAGCCCCTTCCAGGACCTAAAGGGGCTCCAGGAGAGCTGGAGAGGGACCTGGGACAAGGGGGAATGGTGTCCCACTGCCAGAGGGCAGGGTTAGATGCAATATTGGGAAGAAATCCTTCCCTGAGAGGGTGGGGACGCCCTGGCACAGGTTGTCCAGAGAAGCTGTGGCTGCCCCTGGATCCCTGGAAGTGTCCAAGGCCAGGTTGGACGGGGCTTGGAGCAACCTGGGCTGGTGGAAGGTGTCCCTGCCCATGGCAGGGGATGGGACTGGATGAGCTTTAAGGTCCTTCCCAACCAAACCATTCTGGGATTCCTGAGCATCTCCCCATTACAGCCTGGATGTCTCTCCAGAGCTTCCAGCTCTGTGTTGAGGGCGTTTGCTCGTCTTACCTCTCTTTTGCTGCTTCCAGATTGCTGTTATTCATGGTGGTACCGTAGGAAGGCTCTGGGGTCTCCTTGTGCTGTGTGGGTGGGTTTGGTGACCCCTTTCCCGGGGGTCTGTGCAGGGGCCGGGGGGGCTGAGGAACTGGGCAGCTCCATCTCTTCTCACTCTTCTGCTTCTCTGTCCTCTGCTGTTTTCCTCTCCATTTCCATCCCATTCCACACCACTCTCCTGTGTTTGGTGTCCCCTCGTGCCCCCGTCCCTGTGCCCGTGCCAGGGGTGTCCGTGCAGTGCCGGGTGTTGCCATGGGGGTGGTGGCTGTGCAGGGACCCCGGGGGTGTGGGGCCAGCACCCCCCGGCCCCTCCGGCGGGGAGGAGTGAGCTGTGACTTGCCATTTCCCCCTCCCTCCCACCTCCCACTCTCCACAGAGGCTCCGGGAGCCCCTCGGGCTCCCTTTGCCATCCCCGGCAGGCACCAGGCTGGGCACAAACCGCTGTGGGGCACGCGCTGGGCATGGCTTCGTGCGGGAACGGCCGGGCTCTGATTCCTGCCGCCGGGATTTGGGGCTGGCAGCGGCTGAGCCCGGAGCGGGGCAGGGTCGGGGCTGTGTGTGCGGGGAGGGCAGGGGGGGGTGGGCGCACACGCGGGTGCCGGCGAGGGCTGAGGGACCCTCGGGGGCAGTTCCCCCGGGCCTGCAGCTCTGGGGGCACCGGTGCTCCAGGGCGAGCCGGGACCCCTCCCAGCTCCCACCGGGCTCCGCGGGGAGGGGGTGGGCTCCCTTCTGCCCCCGTGTACTCACGTCCCCCGTCGGTGAGCCCCGTGCTGGGGCTGCACTTGGGGGGTCGCTTTGCCCCGTGTGCTGGAAGGTGGCACCGGGCAGGAGGAGCCCCCCGGCCCGGGGGTGCCCCGTCCCTGTGTGTGCCCCCATCCCGAGGGTGCCCCTGCACTCGTACAGAGGAGCAGAGCGGGGTGGGCGCCTGCCCCACTGCCCCTCCCCGGGGTGGCTGCAGTCCTGGAGGGGTCCCTCCATCCCCGCACCTCCGCGGGGGTGTGTGCGGGCTCGGCACCAGCCCGGCCCCGGGCGGCACTAACGCGTCTGTCCTGCCCTCCCACCGCAGAGACTTGACTCGCTCCGACTCCGACTCCTCCATCCCGCACCTGAGCGACCACCAGCGTATTCCCAGCTCGGCTCCCAAGCTCCTGGCTGCCCGGCCCACGCTGCTGACCCGCTCCGTGGAGGAGGCTGTCCCCGGCCACCCGGGCCCCGCCGCGCCCACCCCCAACGGCGGCAGCCGGCACGCGGAGCCCCCCGGGCCGGGGCCTTTGCCGGAGCGGCTGCCCGAGAGCCCCATGGCGATGAAGAAGATGATGATGGTGAACCACGGCATGGAGAAGTCCTCCAGCCTGGGGGAGATCAGCCACCCGACGGCCGGCAAGCCCAGCCACTCGGATTCGTCGCGGTCGCACAGCCCCAGCTCCCCCGACCCCGACACCCCCTCCCCCATCTCTGACTGCCGGCCCCCCGGCGCCAAGAGCACCCGCATCCCGCAGCTGGCCGCCAAGAAGAGCCCGGGGGACGAGGACAGCAGCCTCACGGGCGACGAGGTTGACCCCGGCCAGAGCAAGAAAAAGTTCCCCCTAAAGATCTTCAAGAAGCCCAAGAAGTAGCGGGGGGGGGGGGAGCCCCCAGGAGCGCGTCCCGCCGGGCCCGGGGCCGGATCGCACCGGGAACGCAGCGCGGCCCCGGCACCCGCCGCCCTCCCTCCGCACCCGAGTCCGGCACGGGGGGAGCTATTTAAACTTATTTATTTCCCGACCTCCGAGAAGAAAAGCCGCGCCGCCGCCGGCTCCCCCGGGAGAACAGCCCCCCTCCCTGCCCGCCCTCCGACCGCTGCGCTCCCGGCTTTGCTGTGCATGGCTTCCAGTTACTCCTGCTCCGCTCAGCCACGCGGCCTTTGGGTTTGGTTTCAATGTGGTTTTGTTTTTTTATTTTATTTTTTATCGTCGTTACTCTTGATTTTTTTTTTTCCTGCCTCCTCCGACTTTTGCACAGTCCGGCCGGAGGGGGGGCGGCCGCTCCCGCGCTGCCCCTCGGGCTGACTCAGCTCGCGGCGGTTCTCCCTCCTTTCCCCGAGTCACTTTTCCACCGCGGCCTCCGTGGCTTCGCCGTCGGGAGGGGGGACCCCTCCTGAGCAGCTCCGCGTAAGCAGGAGCAGGGGAGGACTCTGCCCCTGCCGGTACTCGCGTGTCCCCGGTCCCCGCGTGTCCCCGGTCCCCACGTCCCCCCGTGCCGGGGCGGCCCCGCTGGGTCTCGGGGAGGGGGCTCGGGGCTGTCCCCGCACTGCTCTGCCCGGCCGGGGGGGCTGGAGCCCGGGGGAAGGAGCCCACGCCTGGCCTTGGCCTCACTTCCCCGGGCACCCTCCCCAGTGCCCAGGACTCCTCCAGACCCTGCCGGGGTGGAACACGGAGGGCAGGGCGGTCCCGAGGGGCTTTGGAGCAGAGCCAGGTCCAGCCATCATGTCCACACAAAGAGGAGGGAGCTCCCGGGAGCAGGGCCCGTCCCCTGTCCCTGTGTGCCCTGTCCCGGCCTGGCAGGGCCGGGAGGAGGGAGCAGGACACAGCAGGGCTCTGCAGGGCAGGGGACAGAGGCTGGGCTGGCAGGCCCCTGACAACACCCTCTGCTCTCCTGGCTCCGTCCCTAGAGCAGCCCAGGGGCTCTGTGCCCTCCCCGAGGGATGCAGTGGGTGCAGGAGGCTCGTGTGGCAGCGTCCCCCGTGCCCAGGGGCCACCTCCTGGTGCCAGCACAGCTGGCCATGGGGCTCAGCCTGTCCCCAGGCACTCCCCGGGGCTCGGGGGCTCTCCCATCCTCCCCTGGCACCTCGTGGGTCACATCCCGCTGCTCAGAGCCCTCAGCCCAGTGGGTGTCCCCCAGCACAGCCCCGACCACTGAGGGGGTCACCATTTGGGACAGCAGCCGTGGGCTGACCCTCCCTCCACCCCTGGGCAGAACCTGTCCCTTGGGATGAGCCCTGCTCCATCCCTGGGTTGACCCTCCCTCCATCCCTGGGCAGAGCCTGTCCCTTGGGATGAGCCCTGCTCCATCCCTGAGCTGACCCTCGCTCTGTCCCTGGGGATGGGCACCTCTCCATCCCGAGGGATGAGCCCTGCTCCATCCCTGAGCCTCGCCTCGCTCCATCCTCAGGGATGAGCTCCATCCCCCAGCCCTGCTCCCAGCTCCCTCCAGGCTCAGCACTGGAGCTGCCAGAGGAGCCCCCCACCCCCCTCGAGGCGGCTCCCTGGCACCACAGCACCCCCCAAAGCCTGGGGTCCCTGTTCCCACCCCCCTCTATCCCCAGCCCCTTGGGCCACCATCCCACCCACTCCTGGAGGTGGGGAGGGGGCTTCTCCTGCCGAGGCAGAGGAGGATGCACGATGGGGGGAGGAAGAGGAGGGTGGGATGCCGGGAGCCCCCGGGGCCTTGCTTTATGCCAGAGTAATATATTCATGTCCTGACAACACAGGAAGGGCTATAAAGGTGTTTTTTGTTCCGTAGGTGGGAGTTAGACAATTCCACTGTTGCTTTGAGACAAGTGAAAAATTCCTCTCAGTGACTAAGTGCCTGCAATTCCCTGGGGATGGGGGGACGTGCTCGGCCCCGTGGCCGGGGCTGCTGCCCGGGCACCCCAATTCCTGGGCACCCCAATTCCTGGGCACCCTGATTCCTGGGCACCCTGATTCCTGGGCACCCTGATTCCTGGGCACCCCAATTCCTGGGCACCCCGATTCCTGGGCACCCCAATTCCTGGGCACCCCAGTGTCATGGGCAGGGTGCCCTGGGAACGCCAGCGGGGTTGGGGTCCTGTGGGTGCCCCCCATGCAGGGGCTGCCCGGGCTGGAGCTGCTTGTGGTGGCGGAGACCTGTGGATGCTTCTGGAGAAGGGGTTGGGGATCCCCCCACTGTCGACGCATCTGCCAACTCTTGATTTGATTTTTTTTTTTTGTCATTTCATAAAACTTTTCAATCCAATAAAAGCATGTAGTCTATTTTATGAGCTGCCGTCTGCTGCCCCTTCTTCCAGCCCTTCCCAGGTTCCCAGTTTGGGGGAGTGGGCTGTTGGGGGCCTGCTGGTGGCCAGGGGTTTCCAGCCTGGCCACAGGGTCCAGCAGTGGGATGGCACACGGAACCACAGAAGGATGGAATTGTTCAGGTTGGAAAAGCCTCCAAGCCCATCGAGTCCATTCCCCAGCACTGCCAAAGCACCACTAACTCATGTCCCCAGGTGCCGCATCCACAGGTGTTATAGGTTAGAAATTCAGGAGAATTTTTCTTTCCCCTGTCCCCCCCTCACCCCCACTGTAGGAAAGACTGAGTTTGAATGGAAAGGGGGAAGGGAGCCAATTAGCTTTGCAAAAGATCTGGCCGAATTCGGGGATGGCCCATCAGAGGCTGGGGGGAGAGGGGAGGAGTTTTGGGAGGGGGTGGCTGGCTCTGCTCGGAGGGGAGAGATTCAGACTGCTGGGTTCTCTTTGGAGGATGGAGACAGGGTCTGTGTTCGGGGTATGTGGAGAGAAGGCCTGGAAGCCTGTTGGTCTGGCTTCCCATCCTGGCCAGCCCTGACTGCTGGCCTCAGCTTCCCTGCGAGCTTTCATCGGAGAGTCTCCGTGCTCGCTGGGAGAAAAGGAGGAGCTTTTTGGGGCGCCATCAACTGAGAACCACAGTGAGTCCTGTTGGGGGTGAACTGCTTTTCCTTACCCCTTCCTTCCATTGAGGGAAGGGTCCCCACTTTCTTTTTGGTTCCTCCCGCAACCCGAGACCACCCCTCAGATCCCCCTCCCCGCCTGGTGACCACCAGAGCCCAACAGCGTCCCTGCCAACCATGATTTTTTATATATCTATGTATATATATATATATATGTATATATATATATATGGCTGGGCTTCGTGAACGTAGATTTGGGAAGGGCTCTACCCACGTTTGTCACAAGCACGTTGGTGGCTGAAAAGGCCAATATGAGACAGGCATGATTGGTTGCAAAAGGCACAGCAGAAAGACTCCTTAGGTGGTAAATTCTGCACGGCACGGTTCTTTCTGCGTTGCCTTTTCTCCTTGTGGCAGTTTGAGCCGCATTAGAAATCTAAAATCCAATTTCCAGGCTTCCCCCCACCCTTTCTCATAATTTATCCTAACACCGGAGAGAAACTTTCAGACCAGAGGCTTCTGTAGGGGAAGGGGGAAGTATATACATTTATTTACACAAATAAATACTATACAAACTAAAGGCAACTATATATATATTACATTTCTATCAGTCAGTCCTTTCAAGCCCCTCCTTTTAACTACTTTAGTCCAGGAGTAGCCTTTAAGGCCGATATGTAGCACAGCCTCTTCCCTCATGGGAGTGTTCTGGGTCTGAACACTCCCCCCTCACCAAGCTCCAGTTGTTTGTTGCAGTCTCTCCTCCTCATGAAGTCCAAGAAGATGGCCTTGAGTCCTTGCTCTTCTGCTGCTGTGTGATTTCTCTCTCTCATACCTTGGTTCATAGGCTGCTGCAGTGCTGTCCAGCTTATCAAGCATCTGCGTCCTGGAATGTTGATTCCTCCTTCGGGTTTTCGGCTGTCCTGCGTTTTAGTTCACGGCAGAGGCATCCTCCAGGCCCCTCTCTCTCTCTCTCAGGGGGTCCATCTCCAGTTCTTGCCTGGGATTTTCTCCCCAGCAATCGAGCCTCCTCCAGCCCGTCCACTTGGCTCTGCTCCAGTGCTGAGCCTCACATCCACTCTCACTAAACAGCGAGAGGGAAACACAGCCCTGCTCTGCAGCCTGGCTGCAAAGGTGGGGGGGAAGGAAGAAGAGGGCCTGGCCGCAGGACCTGCCTCTCTCTCCCCCACTTACCAGTTGTTTGTGAGTCGCATCCCTCACAAACATGCACTCATTCCAGTGCTGTCTCTAACTCTGGCCTGGGCAGAGTTAGGGGGGCCGCAGGGCTCCCCTCTTCCCCCCAGAGGGGGAGAGAGGGAGCCCAGCCACCCCCTGGCCTTCTACACCTACATGCAGCAGACATCAACAGCAAAACAACCAAGGTGGAACTGCCAACAGCTTCTGGTGCTGTGATATATGATTTTGAGCAGAAGTGAACAACATGGGCAGTGATTGGCTCTCCAGGGAACACTGCCCTGGCACCCAACCACCTCTGAGCCCCCGAACTCTCAAGGGGGGCCAATTTCAAACTATGACACTCCTCAAGGGTGATCCTGCTGCGTTCTCAAAGGCATCAGCAGCGTTATAGATGGGGTGTCTCCAGGTCTCCCAGTTGGAGACCAGTTATGTTGATCAATATGGCCAAGGCTGAGATGTTGTTTCAGGGAGTCCTTGCATCTCCTCTTCAGGGCTCCTCTCTTTTGGCAGCCAGTGGCAAGTTCACCATAAAGCAGGATCTTAGGGAGGGGGTGGTTGGTCCTTCATCCTGGAGACGTGCCCTGCCCAACACAGCTGTGTTCTCAGCAACATGGCCTCAATACCTGTGACTGCTGCCTGTTCTAGAACAGATGGATTGGTCCCATAATCTGACCAGTGGATGTTTAGGATTGTACGGAGGCAGCGTTGATGGAAGCGTTCGAGGAGTCGCAGGTGGTGGCGGTAGATGACCCGTGATTCGGATCCATGTAAAAGAGCAGACAGCGCTATGGCTCTGTAAACACTGATCTTTGTGCTTTTCTTCAGGTGTTTATTTCACCAAACTCTTTTATGAAGCTTTCCAAAGGCACCGTATCCCTTTGCCAACCTGTTGTCTATCTCCCCGTTAATCTCACCGTCCGAGGAGATGAAGCTGCCTGGGTAATTAAACTGCTGGGCTGAACTGAGCTCTGAGGCTGCC